CTGACTGGTTTCACCGGGGAAGTCAAAGTGCCTTTAGATTTTACAGTAGCTGAGCAAGACCAAAAACAGTTAGAGTACATGCCTGGTTCAATAATGTGTCTGCAGAACGCTGGCATAGCAGCAGCCCTTCAGCTGACAGCGGGGAAGACAAGAAACAGTCAGGCAATGCTGAAGGAAGGCAAAGCAAATGGAACCCTGGTATCTGCAGAGAATCCCACACCACCTACCCTCTTCAAAACGATTTAACACAAGCGGTCCGAAATCATGAAGTGGAGATTCCTCCAGCTGAGCTGATCAGCTGCACATACCTGTCCTGCTCACACTCAGTAGGAGAGGATGGTCTAGGAGACGCGGGAAGGGAACAGGAGGAGCGGCAGCATGTTGAAACAACGGTCCTCACGGACAGCGAGGCTTTCAAAACCAAGAGGTGTTTTATGGTGAACCTGATATGGGAGTTATGCACCACAGGAACAATCACAATACGAGTATCACAGATGACACCAATTAGACCAAGGAATTTCTTTTTTTACATTCTAGAAATATACTCTTCTACCACTGAAACTAAAGATGAGCTCAGTAAATGCGTGGGCTTCTGTGCGTACCAGTTACCAGATTGGGTGTTGTACACCAAGGAGAGGTTACTGTGCGTGAAATGATTTGCAAATCTGTGCGTACTACTTCGAGAGGAACAGGCTGAACAAGTATATCTTGGAAGGGACAGAGGCTTTAAACAACAGTTAATATTTATTTATTAAGTCTTCTGTTATAGTTCTCTTTTACTGTAACTTCCCAGATTTGCCACATGTAATTTCTTTGCCGTCTCATCTGCTGCAGCTTCATGCAAGAGCCAGAAATCCCATACTCTCAATTCAGACCTCAGCCTGTACCCTGAACAGCACGTACTACAGTTCATTCCAGACCAGTTAAAAGTTGCACACTGCCAAAATCCCAAACAGCCCTGTCAAGCACAACCCAACCTGGGAGCGTCAAGTGCTTAAAGGCAGAGACTCTCCCTTGCCCAAGAGGGGATGCATCGCTGCAGAGAAGTCCTGCAAAACATGCATGTCTGACTCAGGCCGTCAAACAGAATGTGTGACATTATCAAGTCTACCAGCATGATGAACCAATCAACATCTATGAAATCTGTTCTCACTGCTTTCATTGCCACTTGGCTTCAGTCATTCCCATCTCTGTAAGGTGTTTTGAGGTCTACAGATAAAATCAACTGCATATTAACCAACACTGCGTCCATCAAAATGATGAAATAAAGATCGACAGAAGAAATAATTTCCTGAAACCATGCCATTCTTGTGGAATGCCTACATTGTTTGTAATAACCCTCAAGAAGCCTGAAAATAGGCTTCCTGCAAGGTTTTGGTTTTCCTAGCAAACCAACTGTACTTGTTCCTTGTGTTCTGAATTTAGCTGTAGTTCATATTTAAATAATGAAAGCAAAGTACTAAATTAGGACTTGAGCTAAATAAAACAAACTCCCTAAAACAGAAGACGCAAGCGATTCATCATAGTATCATCAATGATGGTGCCAACACACACTAAAATGACATGCAGAATGGAGGGCACAAGCAGGATGAAAAACTAAGTTGTCTATTATTTAGAAGTTCAAAAATCAGTTTTAGCTCCCTATTTAGCTCTTGTTATTAAGAATACTGTTATAAGCAGGACACCTTAATAAATAGAAATGAATTAGAGAAAATAACGCACCTGACAGTGCATCTGTCAAAATACAATAGGTACAAGACTGACTGACTTGGTTGAAAGGAGAGTGCTCTTAATTATAAAATATATTTAAGCAGAAGAGTTTAGTTTGTTCTCTATACAAATCCTTCAGATTCCCTCCAAAGACTAGTAAGTGCTGTTGACACAAAAAGCAAGTATGAAACACTACTTGTAATGCCACCGCAGGGGACAACATCCTACAGATGTTGTCTGGAAATGAAACAGATCCTTTGCCAGGATTTCTTGCTCCGCAAGGTATGTGTTAAGAGCGGAAAAGGAGCTTGCACCTGCTTTACATTTAGTAAAACTATGAAACTGAGTTTATCAAAATTAGACCTCCCGATTTCTTGTTAGGTCCTCTTTTTACACCTGAAATTTTTTTACAGAAGTAGAACATGGACGATACTTTACATTAAAGCAGGCTTTCTGCTTGGCTGTTTGGAACGAGTATACCATCACTCCAGACACGTTCTGTATGTATACAGACCCTAGGCACGGCTGCAATACATGCATGGATTCGTTTTTCCAGGCCTGATGCTTCTCAGAAGCATCTGCTGAGCCTACGCTGCGTAACTCTCGTTTGACGATACAGTAGGCACTATAATTCCAGAACTTGAGTTACTGAATATACTCCATTCATCGATATAGTATTGAACTTGCTAAATGTGCACTGCACAGAGTGCTATACAGGACCTTTTAAACAGAACTATTACATCCATAAGCAATGACTCTATGACTACCTGATTTATGTCACAAAAGTAATTTCCTATAGCTACCTTCTGCATTGAGCATGCCATCTCTACCCTGAACATACTGCTTTAAACAGTTTAAATAACATTAAAAAACCCCAACCAACTGAACAAAAAACCCCTGCAAAATCAAATAAGGAACTAACAGAAGGGCAGTCAGATCCTTTGGTTTATTCGCTGCCACTTGCAGCGATGCTAATGTGATGTCACAGCGTGGTGTTCCCACAACTGCAATGATGAAGGCACTGCAAGAACAGGTCCAATTCCCACCGAGCCATTTGCACACCGCTAGGATAGTAATATTTCCAACCGCTCTAGGGATGTAGGACAGAAATAAGGATCCCAGGTATCTCCATGCCCACAGTATTTGAGTAGCTCCTCGCAGCAGGGTACAACTTACCACAGTTACCCATTCCTGTAGTGTGCCAGGATACGTCCCATCCCTTCCAGGCACCAGGAAAGGGTGTTCAACTGGTTTCTCCACTCAGGTACGTTAAGCACAAACTGGCAGGAACAATGGGGTGTCTAGTTAATCCAGCATCCAGGGGAAGGCTGGCTATGACTTGGGAAAAGACAATCCTTTTCCTACAAGATCTCATTTCGCATTAAATCCTTGGCCAGAATATAAATAAATTCTCGGAAGCAGATTACTTCATAGAAAGTAATGTTCATTAAGGCCCTCAGAATCAGATCCTATAACTTTTCACTAGTCATTGATTTTCTTCAGAAACAAAAGGGGTAAAGATTAGAATTATACAGATTTTATTAATATTCTTTTGGTAGGGAGCATCTATTAGCCATTGACATGTTGGAGTGCACGGTTTGGCCTTGACGGCATGAATAATCGTTTCACACATGACGGACAGCTTTAACTCAAATCATGTTTCATCGCTTACATTCATATTGATATTCATTTATATACAGTCAGCCTGGGGAACAGAAAGTGTGCTACGTATGATGTAAAAGCAGAACTAGCTGTTTTCCAAATCCTGTGCCTACAACCTAAATATCCATAAAGTATATTGCTGTTGTTGTCCAGGGTAACAGTGACAATACTTTACAAGTAGCTACCAGTCAGTTAAGGAACATAGGAGAAAAAACAGTCTTCTTCATAGGAGCAGCACTATTTTAATTTTTCCTACTTATTCAAGGTGTAACTGAATTATTTATTGCACATACTATGGATTTTATGGATGGATGAAATGAAGCAGACATTCATGTTACATGGTAACACTAATTCTGGGTAATCCACCTGGGATCCCTCTATTTAAGTGGGAGTGTGTTTCATACGTTTGTAGTAGATTTCCACTGTAGTCATGTGGAAAGCACACTATAAAAAGAAGCCTCATTGACAATATAAACATTTTTGAGCATCACCTTTCATATTAAGTCTATTTGGACTTCTTGACTACAATTTTAGTGGCATATTCACCTGCAATCACTACCTTAAAAAAAAAAAAAAACAAACAAAAAAACCAAAACACCAGAACAAATACAACCAACAACAAAACCCCCAACAGTCCCAGCAGAATGAAATTCAGAGCAAGAAGTCAGCTGAGCTACCCAACCAACTAGCAGCAGTAGGAGAGTATTATCCTCTGGGCTGGGCAGGACCGACTACTTCTCTTGTCTTTTGCTGACAGTGTAAGCAGGCAAGGCTCGAGGATACTGCCTCTACCTGTATTTACAATTGCTCCTCCCCATTATTAAGCTTGACCCCTCAAGACCCTATTACTACCAGCCCATGCTCAGCCTCATCGCTTTTCAGCCTCATATCCCATTTGGCCGTCCTTAAACTCCATATTCCGCTCACCGCATTCTCTGCCCCTTGCCTCCTCCCTCCTATCTGCCCGCTCATCCCAGAGGCTCAGCTCCCAGGTCAGGTACTTCCCGCGCTCACCCTCCCCAGCCCCAAAGGCGCTTGCACAAACAGACCATTTTCACTTGGTTCTTCCTACTGTCTGCATCCCAGCAGAGGAGCTGGATTTCCTTACAGAAAGCAATGCAAGGAAAAAGTATTTTTTCTGCTGTCTGGAAATCCTCCCCAGGACTTTCTGAAGTTTCTTATTATGCTGTAATCCTAAGGCATATATTCAGCATGGAACACCTCGGCCTAAATTAAAACAAAAACCATGTCTTTCAGTTGTGACCTGCTTTCTTAGGATCATGTTCGCTTCAGCTTTGCTATCATTAAATTAAAAAAAAAATTAAAAAAAAATAGGGCTGACAGTTTCCAGTACTACAGTCAAAATTCACACAGTAAGTGAAGCTGTTAGACTTCTTGGCATTGAGTAATTACTGTATCCTAGTTAAACCAGGTTAGACAGAAGCCATGATATTTTAATAAATCCCAAGTACATTTAGTAACTCTTCTTACAAAGTATTTTATTGTCAGTAACAGAAATACAGTAAGATAGAAGGCACACAGCTTTTGACCATTTTACCACAGTGTGCTAAGTGCTATTTAGAATAGAAACTCACTTTTAAGTAAACATGAGTATTTTAATGAGTATCTTAACATTTCCGTGGCTGTTGAATAATGTAAATTCTTTTAGGCAGTATGAACTTCTCCAAGGCAGGCCGTGGCTTTTGGTGAGCCACTTGTAATGCTGCTGCATGAATTTTGTGGCTCATCTGTAACATTAAAGGGGAAGGAAAAAAAGTTGTGATAGAATATAGCTTTTTTTGCTATTCTCTTCCTAAATTCCATCATATGAAAGTAGTTTAAAAACAGTAATAAAACCTAACTCCACAAAAAGTTCAAATGATCAATACATAAAACTCATGGTGACTGGACATTTCATTATAATTTCTGTTTTCAAAGTGTTATTAGCCTGACTACCTTCAGTGAACTATTGATTTTTTTTTCCTCCCTTTTTTTAGCAGTTCATAGAATGAGCTGTCAAGATAAGGAAAGCAGAGCAAACAATCAGTATGCCAGAGGTAACAGTAAGTTGCTTCAAATTCTTATTTTCACAGATTCAAATCATCATCATTACAGGATCTAATTATTACTTCTTAAACTACTGAGGAAGCTTCATGTATGAGATTCTGGAAACCAACAGGAGAAGGAAGTGGTAGGCCAGAACAGAGGAGATGGGGACAAGTGGAAGAGAAGCAGGATGAGTTGTATCTGTTCTCCTTAACAAGCAAGTCTAAGCATGAATTCAAGATCTACATACTAAAGCTATAATCACATCTGCTGATAAAAGGCTTATGTTGAAATGATGCAACTGATGTTTTACCAAGCTCTATGGATGAGAAACTCTTGTATGCTTCAGAATCTAAAGACTGCAAGTATATGAAAGATAGATTGTAACTGTCAGATCTTCAGATTAGCATGCAAATTAAAAAGCTGCTTGTTAAATCAGCTCTTGCAAAGTGTAGGTGTAGGAGTCTGCATCAACAGCCTAACAAGAGATACTGGACAGTAGTTGTAAGCATAATGATGAACAGAAGGGTCCATCAACAGCTTTGCAACGCAAAATTTTAAATGATCTTGTAGTATTTCCAAGGGAGAAGTGAAGAAGATGCTTGACTACCTCATGTCAGGCCTCAGGTGAAATAGCTGCATATGCGGCAACAGTGGAATATGCTGTGCCTGTTGTCTCCGGGATCACTTACAGTAGTGTGACGTTAGCTTACCGTCTTGGTATCCACTGTGCGCAGTCAGTGACACCACCCACCTCCTTCGAGAAGCTATCTTTTCACTTCTCTAAGTCGGACCCTTACAGAAGTTAACGCTATTTCCACAGCGGGATAAAGAACTGAAGACTAGGTTTTGTTCTGGGTTGTAATCACAGGTCTGCCACAAACTTACTACGTCACTGACAATTCTTCCTGACATTTCAATAAATCTAAATCAACATACCACTTTAAGAAAAGGACACACCTTAATATCTTGCTGTACTTTCTGTAACCGGTACACATAATTACCCTGGGGCTACTTAGTGTTAAATAGGAATGGAATCAAACATAGCAGAAAAAGGAGGGAAGGCTAGTTACTTTTTAGCCATCTAGCATTTCAGCCACACAACTGCTAAAGAAATAGATCATCTCAAGAGTATTTAGTGGTAGGTGAGAAACCTACAAATGTCAGCAGTTTAAGGAAAGTTCTCTTTTTGATTTCTTTTTTTTTTATGTTTAGCTTTATGGAGAAGCCCTGACAAACACACATCTTATTCTTCCAGATGTACTTACTTTGCTCAGCACTTCTGCTAGCAAGACACTCATGTTCTGAGTTTTTGAAAAACTGGCAATAGCACTGTAAAGGAAAAGAAAAAGGTATTTAGCATTTCCGTCTCACAGGAACACTTGTCACTTTCATTTTTCAGACATAATACAAAACATTTTGTAATAGAAATTCAGGTTTTGGAGCTAAATCCTTTAATCACATTAAAGACTATATGATATTAAAAAAAGGTCCGCTGCCTCAGAATAGAACAATGAAAATCTGTGTTGCAGGCTGTTTTATTTAGATACAGTTTTATACAAAAAAATCTGTATATAAAATATTCTTAAATATCTCAAAAGGGACTTTTTTTTGTACACCACGGAGTAGCTTCACAGAAGCTGAGCACTGATATCCAGAACTACAAAATTTGACTTCGTAATTTTCTTGATTCCAATCTAGACCCACGAAAAAAATTCACCCTCTGCCTTTGGGGAATGTTTCCTTTGACAGCAGTTTGTCACGCAAGAACTTTTTGCGCAAGATTATTCCATTAACCGCTCCATATGCCAATGAAGAACAGTCATGTTACCAATGTTCCACAAATAAACAATCCGTGGATAGGAAATAATTTAGTTTAGCAACAGGAAGAACTGTGGAGTGCACATTCTTCTGATAATACCATTATTTGCAGTCACACCTCTGTAGCTTAAAACGGAGTCAAGAAAAATCATTACTACCCTTACCCATGGAACCAGATAAGTTAAATGTGACTCTTGAAAAAGCAGATACTGCTTTGGTTAAGTTAATGATTCTGCGGATCAGGCCAGACACATTTCCTACTGAAACTTCAATTTAGCAATCGATAGTTTGCCACACTGACAAATATAAGTCATTCAAGATCTGTTTATGCCATCAGATAACTATAACTATGGAAAAGACAGCAGCAAAATTACACCCAGACAACTAGCAATCAATGAAAATAAAAACCTTCTAACTCCAGAAAAAAAACACAAACAAAAAAAAAAAACCCAAGTCAAATTATTAAACAACAAAAACTCAAGAACACACCAAACTGAATCGTGTCTCTTAAATAATGAGGTATAGCCAAACGTAATGTATTGTCAGAAAACTGTCAGGCAGGCATCTAGTTACTAGCATCATACATTACATTCTATTATGCCATACATTACACAACTTTAGAGCAAGCATGCTTTTTTTTTTTAGAACTAAATCTCAAAGCTCAGCTCCTGCCAAGACCAACCTCAGCTCTGAGTAGCCACTTTAAGCTATGACAGTGACTTTGAGCCTCTCAGATAATCTCATCTGAATCAGAAACTTAGAGGCAAGAAGTCTGTGTGTGATAGCTACTAAACTACATCACAAACTTCTATGATTGCAACCTGACAATGAAATCCATCATCCCAACAAGGTATGTATACTATATGGAGTAACCATTGATTCTAGCGCAGAGAACTAGTAAACGGGAAAGAAGTCAGTGTTACTGGCTCAGCTGTGTTCCAAAAATTCTGTTTTTGGTTAGTGTCCTCCAAGCCAGTGAGCCAACACACAAATAAAAACCTACAGTGGTGACTTCTGTAGCCTGCCAAGAGATAGCATCAATATGTCAGCGTTAAATATGGCTAAACCCAGTTAATTTAAAAGTCATCCAGCTGATTACAACATTTTAGAGGAAAATAAAAATAATAAAATCACGTCTTGGTCCAAAAACCGAGTTCATCTGTCAGTCTAGTCACAAGCCTCCCTTTTAACTCCTGGCAAAATAATCTATTTCACAATGATGTTACTAGATTACAGTACTTGGTAGTGACTGTCAGACACTGATACTATGATTGCAATGTACACATAGACATTCAACTAAAAAGGAAGCCTTCTTGACAGCAGCTAAAGATATTCAGAAACACCAGAGGTAAATCTGTTCATCAAAAGTAATACAGGCACCTTAAATCTCTGTGTGGAAAAAAAAAAAGTGGGAATCAGAACAAAGTCACCTGGACTACTTACCTACCCTGTCTAATCCAGGCTTTTTAAATGGTTACCTGGGTACCACAGAAACTCCATAATATAGGCAGCTCCTTTCTTGTAAGTAAAAAGTAACTGATGTCCCTAAATCCCCAGCAGTGGAAGGAGTAATGCACAACTTTCAGGATAATTCCAAGATATGCTTTAATAAAGACTTGATTCTAGAGCTCCTCCCAGTTTGCACAGGCCTCTTCAGCGCGCCCAGAGCAGGCTATCATGAGGACAATACAAAGACTGCTGTTCAGAATAGGGAGTTCTGTTCTTAAGAGATACAACAGAATATTTAATCTTGTTTTGTTTCAGTTTATTTTTATGCATAAAACTAGTCCGAAATTGGGACTGCAGGAGAGGCATCTACATCCAGACAGAAATCAGAGCCCACTGCTACAGGTAAAAATATGTGCTTACAAATGCTTTTTCATAGCAAGATGATAAAGTCACTTTTAAAACAACAACAGATGTGTTTCCTACCCATACCGAATGAAGTAATGCTCAACAGTTTCCAAGGGAAGAAGGAATTCCAGGCTGCCCTTATTCTAAAGGGAATGAAACCCCATCTCCTGCTTTCAAGAGTCTACAAGATCAGACTGTGCTCTCCTCTTGGAGCTGGGCCACTGAGCAGCAAAAATTTAAAGTTTTAGAGGGCTAGGAAAAAAGTGTATACTAGGTGCAGGAGCACTCATTAGAGAAGGATATCCAAGTTCCAGTGTCAGCTTACACATTATTTTGAACACTGACAAAAGGGATAAAGGTATTAAATGCACATGAGTTACAATGCTGAGTGGAATTTTAGACCCACCTCCCCAAGCACAGTACTTTAACCATTACATTTTGTCTTATCCCCACAAATCTCACGTCTTTTTCTGTGAGTCTTTTTTCTGTGAAACTTAAACAGGAAGCACCTAGCTCACTGGTGAAGGCAACTGACACAGCAAGGTATGTACCAGTTTGAGCTGACAACAGGCTAAAATTCAGGTCTTCCATTTCCTCACAAATATCCTAATCATCATGTGGAGGAGGATATGTACACCACTTCCTCGCACAGCAAGGTCATAGCTATCAGGACACAGCAGATTCATTCCAAGAGCAAATCACTGGATTGGGCTCCTTTGAACAAAAACCTTAGCGTCACATTGACAGGTTTCTGAAGGCCACAGCAATTATGAGGGCTGCTAGGTACTCGGCAATAACTGTGCAGTTCTCGATATGCCCCAAAAGAACTGCAGGCTCTTAAAGGGAACTTTTTGTGCAAAAAAGAAGGTATGTGGTGAGATAAGGAGCATACAAACTGGGTGGCCACTGGGAAAGTTTAAAATTGCAACAGAAGCAAAACCCTGAGTGTCTGAATCCTATTTAGGCATTGTATTCCATTTAGGATTTGGACTCTAATGCAATTTCAGGAACACCACAAGTCATTAAAATTTTACCCTCTTATCCTTATATTGGTGAACTTCACTTTTTGCTAAGTGATATTTATGAAAAGTGCATAGACTTTAGAAAAGCATTCAGTCTTCATTTGAAAAAGCTGGAAGAAAATATTTGTTTTGATGACCACTTCAACCAGTCACTGCTACCTTATTCAAAAGCAGAAGCATGCCTTCATTTTAGGGCAAAATAGCTTGAGTAACCTTATGAAGTAGAAAACAGAAAAAGCCAAATTACATTTCAGATTGAAATAGGAGATACAGCCTGTACAGGAGATAATAGACTCTTTGTGGAGGGTAGGAGATGTGTGTTTAATTTCCTTCAGAATGAGGACATGAAATGCATTCCTATTTCACTGGGAACTGTTTAACCGTTACTTTATTAGGTACAGGTAGGCAACACATAGTTTTAATTTCTGTTCCACAATATATGATGATAAAGAAGAGATTCAGCCTTTGTCTTTCATTGCAAGGCATTGTCCTTAGGTTTTGAAGTTGGAGGGGGGCGGGGGGTGTTTGTTTGGGTTTTTTTGTTGGGTTATTTTGGGTTTGGGTTTTTTTTGGTTTTGAGTCAATGATTACCTCAAAGTTGCCTTTTACCTATAAATTGCACAAGTTAATTTAAGAATTAAACTCTTCAGAGATCAAGAGTTGTCTTTGTTTTCAACCTTCAGCCCATTACCTATGAACTTTAACTATGGGGCAGGGGGGAAGAAGCCCTGCAGTGCAATACCTTGGTTTTTCTTTTCCTGGAGGCTTAGCATTTTTCTCAACAGGTCCATTTTCTTGCTTTTTAGACACTCTCATACCTCCAGCTTTGACTGCAAGAAGAAAATACAATTTATGTAAAAATATCTACAGAATTACATACTACATTACGTACACTTAGAGAAGAAAAAAATACTTACACCCCAGATAATTGTTAATGAGAAATGATCTTTCAGTATTTAACTCTATGCTTCGCTTTTGAACACACACATACACAGAAGTAAGCCAAAGAGATCCAACAAAGACTTCAAACTTCTGCATCACGGCATACTCAAATCAACTTCCAAATCCTATAATCAAGAAGTCAGAGGGGTTTTGGTCACTGCTAACTATACTAAATCTCAACATCTTATGATGTTAATACGCGCCATTATGTTAATATGCCCCGCAATCTCAGATGCAATAGTTTCCATTTTAAATTTAAAAAAGCAAAACAAACCAACCAACCTCTAAACACTTTCAGGTTTTTGAACAATGTCACTAACAGCAATAAAGGTTTTGTGATTTGATCAAGGTATTCTCGAATAAACCTAATAATGCAGATAAGAGCCAGCTGCATACTTATCCTGTACTCGTGTTCTAACATGTTTAATTATACTATATTAAGATATCTGCCAATCACAAAATCAATTAGCACTAATTAAGCTACAGACGACCTAACAATAACAATTTAAGTTCTGAAGCCTGTCAGAAAATTCAATTCTGAACAAAGAACCTGTAAAGTTATCTAAAACATCTTGCTGAAACATCTTTCTCCCTGTTCACGAGGGTATTTTCAGTTTTCAATCTGTGAGAGTAAGAAAGAACAAACTTAGTATGCATTTCTCCTTATTTTGAAGAAGTTGCTTCATCTCACAGCAAGGTTCCTATTCTTATCATGAATAATCAATGCTAGAGTTTTCAAACTCAAACATTTGGGGGCGGGAGTGAATAGGGAATGGAGAAAAGTTTCAAGAATTACTCAGCTAAACAGCATGAGAAACGTATTTGGCCATTTTCGGGGGAGCAGATGTGTCCATCTGTAACTAACACCCATTTTTTATCAAATCTGACTACTCGCCTTTTATTTCCTCATTGCAGGTTTAGTTTTAGAAACAAGAATTCTCCTACAGTCATGTCCAAAGCAGCCTTACAGTGCTAGAGTTCTGCAATATCTAGACTTAGCTTTTCTTTTCTTTTCAAAATTACATACATACAGTTAATTACACTGCTGTATAAGCAGCAAATGAACTGCCTAGCCATCTTACAGCTGCAAATACGCTAGAGATCTAGACTGAACCAAATTCTTTTGGGAGTCTAACTGCAAAATGAGAAGTCTCCTCTGAAATGGAAGTGTCGACCGTTTTCAATTATCTACCAGTAAAGAGAATCAAGATTCTAAATACCCTCAGCTCACAAGATGTGAAACTCTTTCTCGTCTTTGTAAGCGGGAGATAACACGAGAGGCACCTTTAAACAAGAATGACAAAGGATTAAAAAAAACAAAAACAAAACCCCACATACACAAACACCCTGGAATATTTCAAGATCTTAGACTGATGTCTTCTTGACATCATCTTCCCTTTATAACACGTTCATCCAGAACACCAGTGGAAGTTATCCCAAGTATTCTTCCACAGCTTATTAGGTGCTTAGATTTTGGGGCTTTTTAGCAATGAGTCAAACAGCAAATAGGAACTCAACTAAAATTTTGGAAGTAGATAAAAAACCATACCTGAACCTAGATCCATGACTTTTGGTTTGGGACCTTCACTAAGCACACGTGTGCAGGACTGGTGATTTCTAGATACAAGCATTTTTTATAGTTTTAATTTAGCAGGGTGAAGAGATCCAGACACACAGGGAGGCAAAGATATTTTAACACTATGAAGCTTTACAAAAAGCATGAGGGGGAGCTGGGGTGTTGGGAGGGTGGGCGGGAAGGAGGGAGATACCCAAAATGGGAAAAGATATTTAAACACTAAGTGGCCAATCAGGAATTGCGTCTACTGCCAATAAGCCCACAGAAGAAAGTTATTTTTAATGATTAGAAATAACGCAGGACTCATTTCAATCTTTTCACTGACTTGAAAATAGCTGCTACTAGCAGCTGTCAAACCTGTTCAGACACATCCATGGCAGTGGAATAGTTAAATACGGATGCTTCTGGAATGCACCAGAGAGCTGTTTTGTAATTTGGGTTTTTTTTGAAGCAATTAAGAGAGATGTCAAAATTTTAATATAGAGTTCAATTTTTTGATTTTGGAAGTGCCCCATAAGCCATGTAATCTAACAGTTCAGAACTAAGTGCCTAAATCTTTACTAAGAGAAAGAAAGAAAATCCCATTTCTCTCCCTCCCCCCCAAAAAAAAAACAACAAAAGAACAACAACAACAACAAAAACCCAAACTGAAAACAAAGGCACTGAGCTCTACTGAATCCTGAGGTTACTTATGGATACTATGGTCAGAATAAAGGTGTCCACCTTCAACCTTTGTTCACTAAGTGCACAGCTGAAACAACTTACTCCTGCCATCCCTACTCCTCTGCCGGAGATGGGCACCTCCACTGCAGTGACAGATGAGCCAGGTAAGACAGACAAGTTTACTGTCATGCAAATTAGGAAAAACCAGTACCTGCACCAGGTCACCGCAGTGGTTTAAAGGCCCTTTCAGGTGCAACTCAACCGTCCCTGCCACGCACAGAGACCCACAAAATCCAGGGAAGGACTAGAGACAAGTGAAGCTGAAAAAACTACTTGCATCACAAATTCATGTACAAGCATGCTTAAAAAAAACCTTTCGGGAACACAAAGCAGATTTTCGGGGCACGACGAGACACAC